TTCGTCAGTATCCTGCACATCCGTCTTGTCAGGCACAGGGAGCTTGAAGTTCTCGGCAGTCTCGGCCCGGTCCTGCAGAAATGAGATATAACGAGATCATACGAGATCAAATGTTTCCATATGTTGCCAAAATTTGGGCAAACGAGTGTAAATGTCTGGACAGCACCAACTAGATATGGATTCCATTGGATTCCTATGGATTCTTCAAACTTTATCCAATTACTTCGATAGCTCTCGCGTATTCTCGCGTATTCTCGCGTTGAAGTATCCTGCACATCCGTCTTGTCAGGCAAAGGGAGTGTGATGTTCTCGGCAGTCTCGGCACCGTCCTGCGTACGCAGAAATACATCAATCATCAAAAGTTACAGATCGTTACAGTCATTGTTTCCGAAATGTTGCAAAACATCATCTGGCAATTTTCCTTTCGGGTTGGCAGGGCCATGATGCAATTTTCCATACCCTATCTATTCCATTCTATTCCAGTCTCATCCAATCTCCATCTATCCATATCTAGCCCATCCTCACGCTTGAACAACAAAGCCGCCGTTCCCACCTGATTCTGCGCATCCTCCGGTATCTCTGGCTCTGCATTCAACCCACCATCCTGCGGGAATCTGCGGGAATTTGCAGGATGATATCAGAAGCTTTCAAACATACTCAATCTATCTCAATCTATCTCAATCTCAAATTTTCTGACAACCTCTCACAACAATTCCCACATAGACCAATGTTTTGCATATTCACCTCAGGATGCTTCAAGCATCCTCAAGCTATCCCAAGTTTTCTCAAGTTTGTCCTCAATCGGTTTCGGCATCTCTGAAAGAAGCGTGTCAAGAGGAGGAGGATCTTGAACCTTTGCCCAACGACGGAACGCACAGGCTGGGAACGACGGCGACGACTACTATTGCTAATACGTGTCAACTGGGTTCAAATATGTTCAAATGGGTGCGACCGGTCCTGGAATGGCTTGGGTAGAAGATATTTGAAGATCATTGACGCATTTTCAAGTGAGCGATCAAGCATGATCAAGCCTTCAGCAGCGCTTCAAGGCGGCCAAATAACCTCAATCGGCCTGTCTAAGCATGCCTAAGACTGTACACATGATTTCTACCATTGTCTGCCCATCTAGATCCATCTAGACTTGGCAAACCATGGCACAACTCACTTGCCACCAGTCACATGTCCGGGATTGTCCGGGAAAACGTATGGCCCACATCTCATTTTAGATGCTGCCCACCTCATTGAGGCTTTGTTCCCAACACTTCAGGACCGCCTTGGCAAACCAGGCTGTGTAATGCGCAGAGGACGCTAAGTCTTTGCACCCTTGCCAGCCCTTGCTGCCATCGGCTTTGACGATCTCCTTGTGGTAGACTCGTGGTACTTTGCGCCGGAGATTGCGCTTTTCCAGCCTCGCCTTGCCACCAAAACCAGAGTATGCCAGAAGCAATTGGAAGCACTCACAAACTGTTACAGTACGTAAGAAATTGAAACAATAAGTAAGAATATGTAAGAATCATCTGCTGCAACAGCCCTGGAACGCTGGAACACACCAAGGCACCTTGAATTTCAATCGATGTGCCTTCGTCATCTTGCGTCGCAAAGATTTGGCTGGCCTGGGAATTCCAGAAATTTGCAAGAATGTCTCTACAATTCTCTAATATTCTCTATATATCTCTACCATTCTCTACCTCTGGGATCGTCTGGGAAATGTCTGAATCAATCTAAATCTGTGGCCCCGACACCAGGTTCGTGAGGAGGTGTGTGGGCTTGAGAAGGTCTGTGCCAAAGAATGCCATCCACGTCACCACCACGAACCTAAGATCATTTTTGTAACACACATTGATACTGAAAAATGTAAAAATGCATAAAACATCATAAAACAATATAAAACAAAGTTAAGGCATGTAAAGGCAGTTGTAAAGGCGTGTGAAGGGTGTAAATGCGACCAAAACACATTCCAGCCGCTTGCGCGGCGTCTTTCATCCAATCCTGTTTAAAAGCCCAAGACTGTGCCGGCTGTTCCACCAAAAAGTGGATTCCACGGTCTGACTCAACCAAGATCTTGATCAGCTGCGCCTTGCAAGGAAAGGGGGAAGGGGGGAGTCACCGGGTGGGGTGGGGGGTCTTTCTTGGGGATCTACACATGAATTATTCAACTGGGTAGGTCATTCCATCCCCCAGCCAACCAATGACTTGCCTTGCTAAAACAAGAGTAACTCCATCTAGCTGACGCTCGCTTTCGTGATCTACGAACAACCCATCTTTGAAGCCACGGCACAAAGTTCTTCCAAATGCGGTTGGCTAATCTCACTTTCCACACTGATTCATCTCCTCGCAACCTCCATGATGCTCTCCGGTGCAATGACACGCAAGCATTCACGAAAAGAGAGCAGGGTGGCCCCGCTATGATGGCCCCGCCCTCCTTCAACCTCACGCAATCTGACGAACATTGACGAACGATGACGAATCTATCCGATCAATTCTGATCGCGTCTGGATGATTGAATACACCAAGGAAAATCCAGGAATATCAACGAAGTTCAAGGGATATCAAGGAGATAACTGGCTTTGAATGGCCAAGAAACGCCAGCGCCATGTTCAAGAGGATTTGAAAACCGCGTGTGGACACCACATCGTGAGAGGAATCCAAGAGAAGATCAAACGCGGACGAGAAGTACCCGCGCTGGTTCCATTGAGACCTCGGCAAAATGAACACCGATTTGGGGCCCGCATTTCTAGCATATTCTAGCATCATGGCCCCGCCATGCCCCGCCCCTGGCCAACCCAACAGGAAATTGCCATAAATTGCCAGTATTTGTATGTATTTGTCATGTTTCTGCAAATGTCTGCAAGCATCTGCAAGCTTAGTGATGGCAAGGCACGAGATGGAACGCGAATACCCAAAGCAATCGAGGACATGCACCGTTCGATCTCCACGCCAATTTCTAGCAAAGTTGACCAAATCTGCGTGGTGATCTTCTGCTTTGAACCACCTTTGGGGAAACATGATGGGGGAGACCTCTCTACAAAATCGCAAGGCAAGGGTTCTGATCCTTTCCATGCCCCTACAAAATCAAAAGCCCATGAAGCCTGCTGACCTAGATAGACATATATAGACATAATACTGTTGAAACATTGATTTTGTAGTAGATTCATATTGGGTTTGATCACCGGGCGCTTGATTTTGTAGAAAGACTATGCCAGGTATGTGATTTTGTAGATGCCTCATTCATCCTCATTCATATTCTTTGTTCATATTTGTTCCATTTTGTTCTCACGTGTCTGTTCTCGTGTCTAGAATGTATCAACATGTAACAACTCTATACAAGTTTCTACATATATATATATATATAAATAATGAAATATATAGAAATATATAGAAAATTTTAGAGATATTCAGACTATTTCGGACTAGACAAAACGCCGGAAAACCACAGACGTGTTCCAGCCGTGTCCACGAAACAGATCCCAGCCCCGCCAGCCCAGCGGAATCCAGCGGAGATATTCCGATATTCTCCGAGTATCTCCGACTTTCTCCAACCATCTCCAACCCGTTCCCTCTCCAAGAAACTCTTCCTCTGTTGTCACTGTCGCGGTGTCATCCTGAACGCCTAGCGATGGGAAAGCGCACGTTGCAGCCAAAAGAACCGCCCACACGCGAGCCATGGCAATCAGATGCAACCGGAAACGGGCGCAGGATGACAGCCCGTGGAAATCCGTGCGCGGGACAGGTTAGCTGGTGGAATCTGGCGGAAGCGGCGGGTGACTGCGACAGCATAAGGCAGTAAATGGCAGTAAACAATTCTGGGAAAATTGACACGCACATGCAACCATATGCATATATACAAATATATACAATCAATTATATTACATGCGTCATATTGCGTCATCTTGCAATCTATGGATCTGTCCGTCCATATGCATACAATTGCGTACATATGCGCACAATATCCCGCGGTACAATCACGTACGATCTCTGAAACTCTCGGTTCCTGAGCTTAGAATTCAAGGACCAAGGAACTCTTTTGTCGGCAGCCATGGGTTTAAGTACATCGCTGACACGTCCAGTCCAAGCCCATTTCTGTGCCTTCCTGAGCAAACATGGGACATCATCTGTGTATATCTGTGTATACAGATGTATACAGTGATATACAGCATATACATGTGTATACCTGTGTGGAGGTTCAGGAGATCTTTCGAATCTTCTAGGATGCTCAAGCTATCTCAAGTTTCTGCCATCTTCTGCCGCTATTGCAACATGATGCCACAAATTGCCACAATATGCCACGCGTAACCACTCGTTCGTTCCAAGGCGCTTGTCCCAATAAACATGGTGGTGCGATTGCTTTCGTGCTCCAGATGCGGTCTGCGCTTCCATACAGCATCTGGAAACTTGGTTCGCGAGACCCACTGAGAGATTCTCAGTTTTTCAAAACTTCCAAAATTCTGAAAATGAAACTTCCATCAAATTCCAATAACATCCTGATATTGCAAGCGTGATTTGCTTTGCGAGCAAGTGGCTCCACACTCCGCGTCGGGGGTCCCATTTTGGAGGTTCAACGCTTCCCACGCAAACTCCAATGCCCTCAGTCATAGTATAGGCATCTCTGGGAAATGGTGACACGTGTCATGTTTGACTTCAAACGACTTCAAATATCTTCAAATTAAAACTTTGAATAAAGATATATAATATCTATATATATTTAAAAGTTTCAAAACATTTCTCAAAACTTCCACTGCAAACAAAGCGACGCAAACCGTCGGACATCCGGGTGGAGCCGCCATTGGCTGCACTCTGAATTCGGCAATGCAATGCAAAGAAATACAAATATCAAATAATAAAGATGCACCAAATATCACAAGATTGAAATAGATTGTACCGGAATACATCATACCGGAAGATACCCGCTTCCGTTCTGTGTATGTTTCTGTAAACTCATATCACCCATTGTCATCCAATACATTCCAATACCATTATCCAATGTCATCCAATGTCTATATGTTGCTGCAGGTTGCTGCCACTGTTGCTGCCATTGTTTGTTCGATGCTGTATGCATGACGACATTCAACAGCAAAAGCACGGAGCAACACGCATCCCCATCTCTACAAAATCAAAAAAACATGCATCTACAAAGTCAACACCCCCAACCTTCAAGTGTTTAGAATCAGCAGCCCCAACTCCAAGCAGCTTCTTGGATACGACACCAACAAGTTACACAGAATCAAAGGCCCCAACATTTTTTTGCCTCTCTACAAAATCAAAAGTCTATGTTCAAACATGCTTTACCCCCCCCCCCCTGCTTGATCCCAGGGGTCAACCTCCTTGATTCTGTAAGGGTAATTCCCACGGGGATTTTTTTTCCTAGGGATTCAGAGGCAGCGTTTGGCACCCAAAGTGCCATGGGAGGCTCGTTTTGGATGTTCGGGGCCAAGATGACCGAGACAAATGGAAACAAACTTTTTTTTCTAGGGATTCAGAGGCAGCGTTTGGCACCCAAAGTGCGACCATGGGAGGCTGGTTTTGGACCAGAATTAGATTGGGAAAAGCTGTGGCGGGACCAGGTGTTCGGGGCCAAGATGACCGGGACAAATGGAAACAAACTTGTTTTTTTCTAGGGATTCAGAGGCAGCGTTTGGCACCCAAAGTGCGACCATGGGAGGCTCGTTTTGGACCAGAATTAGATTGGGAAAAGCTGT